ACCGAGGTGTCTCAATGCCTACGCGAGATCAGTAATGAGACTCTGGGCTTCCCTTGGGGGGGGGCACGCATGTAGCGCCAATGGATGATTAGTCTCTCCCACTTGCTCTTGTCCTCAGATGTGCTCTCTCTCCCCCTCGCAACTACTGTGATCACTGCACAGGCTGCACACACACAAGCCACTGCCGACTTGAAGTATGACCAGCAGCAAGACTTGTCTGTCAGTCGTATCAGTACGCAGAGGTTCCAGCAGTATCGCATGGCTAGTCTCGCATGGCGACCAAGAGGGCCTTTCGATAGGTCTGGACGATCATCAGGTGACCTTGGATGGCATAGAGGTTGCGGGGTCTCTCGGGGAGGTTTTCTACAGAGAGACTGATGAGCTCTGGGAGACGACAAGGCTGCCCCGATGCCCAGTATATCAACACGGCCAAGAGCTTGACAAATGCGTCGTGTGCCTGTAGCCATTTTCTGATCCGCACAAGGTTCCAGACGACACCTTGATTGTCCAGTGTGACACCGAGCGTAAAGAAGGACATGAGCTCGGAATCATGGGCGATAAAGCTACCCAGGCGGTCAAGGCAGTTCAGAAAACACTGATTGGCCGAAAAGTACGTGTAGCCATGCCCCGTTTTGTCGGGCTCATCAAGGATGACTTTGTCCCGCTTGATGTACCCATTCTCCATCTGACAGATCTCCTTATGTCGCCCAAAGAGGAGGTCCCTCTCGAACAGCTGTCTCGCCTTTGCAAGTGTTATCTGTACCATTTCGGAAAAGACCGACAAGGACACGGTCCTTCCACTGATGCACACGGCACGCTCCTCCCAGAGTGGGGTCGTTTGTGGTGCGTATGCAATAGAAGTCGCAACGATGGCACTGTACCGCACCTGGCCTTGGAGAATGCCAAACGGACTCAGCGTATCCTGTCGCAAGTAGTCGTCGTGCAGTTGGCAGAGAGTTCCGTATTGAGAGGGTGTAGTTCCATGCCGTGGCTGGGTGTCTCGTTGGTATTGCTGGTATATGACGAGCCTCATCGCCCATTGAAGCTGGCAAAATAGACCATGGAGTGCACCTGGTGTACGAAAAGAGGCGGCATACTCGTCCCAGGCCTTCCAGGCAAAGAAGCGTACCACAGGAAAGGCTAATTCGGGTATAGAGGCAGGTGCCTCGAGAGGTTGTGTGATGAGAGCCATGGAGAGGGTATGGATGACATCAAAGAGCCCGAGTGCTCTTCTGAGGATGGTCGAGCCATATCGATAGTCGCAAATGAAGGGATCGGTGCCGACATAATACTGTTCCCGAGGGAGATGGGTGATATTGTGCAGCTCGGTAACTGCTAGCTCGTCCTGCAGTAGGAGTTGGACTTGATTCATCAATGCTGCTCCCTTCTCAGCGTGCTCTGGGTGAATGTATAGGCCTGGATCCATCTCCCCATCGTGTATGCATCGGAGTATATAAACAATCCATCCAGAAAAGAGCAGACAGTAGCGAATCGTGGAATCGGGACGCCCCAGTGGCTTGAATGACGAGTTGTCTCTTTTCGATTCGATAAGACTCGAGCTTTTCACAATCAGAACATGTAGATGAGAGAGTGTAGAATACGTACTGTAATTTCCAACCAAACATGCGCCTGATCACATCGTGACACCCCTTCAAAGGTTCGACCGACTTGAGAATGTAGAGGAGGCAGCCCAATACAATCATATGCTCTTCATCCGTCTGATGAGGACTATGGATGAGGCTGACCTTGGGAACGAGACGAGCAACATGTTTAGTCCAAGTGGAGGCGTCTTGTGGATAGATACTCCGATAGCGAAATCGGAGCATGAAGGCATTGGCATATTGAAAGCCTTTGACCTCTCCCGTCGGTGCCTTTTTCCGGGAGCAGAGTCGTTCTGCGACAAGTTGTTGGATCGATAGGGGTTTGGAGGTGGGGGTGATGGGATCTTGGATGCGAAAAGGAGAGAATCGACCCTGGCGGTAGTGGAGGCTTTGGACGGGTCCACATTTTGGTCGCAGATCGTATTCTTCATCATCACGGACCAACTCTCTACGGTGTTTTTGGTTGATATGTGTAACGACCGGCTTGTTCGTAAAGGCCGCAAAGGGGCAGTCTCGAAACGGACAGGAAAACCCGTCCAAGAGTGGAAAGAATGGAATCGCCGGGATGATGGTAGAAGGGCGTGGCTCTGGGAAGGAGAGAGTGTTGGCGTGTTTCTGAAACCATTTTCTAAGCGGCTTGAATTCATGGTGATCGGCCCTTTTTCTGATTCTTTCGTCATCTCCTTCTTCTTCTTCCAAGCCCACGATCCGTTCTTCGTCTTGCGAGTCCAGTGCTTCGTCACCCTCCATGAGTTCATCCACCACCTCGTCTTGCTCTTGCTCCTCCTCTTCAGAATCGACGCCCCCATCCGGTAGGTCGACAGGCATCTCACCAGTCAACATTGGGAATGGCTGTAGCGTGACCTTGAGAGAGGAAGAATTTTCATGGTTCTCCCGATAGTGCCTTTGAGCACGCCTGACGTCCTTGGTCTTGAGCGTCTTACGGCAGGCATAACAGACGAGGATCATGGGAGATCCCGGAAAGTCGACCAACTCGAGTACTCCAAAATAGAATCGCGAGAGCGCAGACGGAAGAGAGAGGTTTGGAAGATGAGGTACTGGGGAAGTGATATCCCAATCCACTTCCATGGGAGTACCATCCACCTCCATCTCCTCGGGCAAACCAGAGGGACTGGGAGCGGTGACAGTTTCGAACGCTTCGGGGTAAAGAACCTCTAGCGCCTGCTCTTCGGTATCCAAGTCGAGGTCGTGAACCTGGTTTTCTACCGCTTGCAAGTCCAAGAGTGCGGGGTCTTCTTCATCAAGGTCCGACTCGGGTGACTTGATATGCGCTCGAGCCATGTCGCCGAGTATCGTGTTCACAATTGCCGAAGAACAGATATCTAGTGGGTCGATTAGGGATGGGGCAGAGAGCGAGTCGTGACTTACATTCTCCAGGATCCTCTTGTATTGTCCACCAAAACCACCTTCCTGCCTTCATCCGACGTTCAAAGTCATCGTCTGCGATCCTGTGGCGGCTGCGCAGGTGGCTTCCAAAGTTGCTGTCTTTTGGATTCATAAACGAGTGGTCACACGATGTAACAGGACATTTGTTGGTATATGGGAGCATTATTCGACACCAACGGCCGAACGCCTTGATAGTAAAGAGGAGATATTTGCCTTCGATCTCGTGTAACAGTTTGACGTGACGGTTGAATAGCGTGTTCGTGTATGGTTTGCCATCATTACACCACGGGCAAGGAATGTCTAGTTGTTTCTCAGCTCGACTCCAGGAACGCGTCCACAACACCTACATTCATTCTCGGGAACGACGACTTTGGGCGGCATGAGCGTAAACTACAAGATCAGGAATAAAATAGCTAGGATAAAAGCGAAATTAGCATTAGAAAGTATAGACTCAGTCATACAAACCGTCGAGTACGAGTTGCTGGGATGGTAGAGTCTGAGTTGGTTGGCCGTACAAGTCGCCTTGGGCAGTATAGACGTGTTATAGCGCACAAGTCGTCACAAAAGATATTACAGGAGCATTTTGAAACACGACAGATGTTTGGCGTCAAACGTAATGACTTGTCCGAGCTCGGTTGGGTCAGTGGCGGTCGTGACAAGATACTCCTGGTGGGGCAATAAGGAGCTAGGTTGAGAGGCACATCCTGATCGCATTGTTCTAACATCATCTCCTGGGATGCCATTCACTCGCTGGTGTTGGGTATCGTATCTCCATTTAGGCGTTGTAAATACAGCATAGAGTGAAAACATTTCTGATTGCAAAATGATGCTATCTACATGCGTCTGATGCTGATGTGGAGACTTGGAAATAGATGGTGGAATGGGTGATTGGTGTGCGACGAGCAGACGAGCGATTCGGGAAGTGGGATTTCATCGTCATGTGTGCACAGGTGATAATGGGAGGGAAGCAAAAGAGTTTGGAGGTGAGACGAAGGGTTCAGGAGATCGAGACGAAATGGACAGACGAGTGGCTTGGTGGAGGCGAGTGTTCAAAGTCGTCCCAGTTGAACGAGCAGACAACAGGCGAGGATGGAGGAGTAGCTGAGGGATATGTGATACGCCAGTGTCCTAGAAATCTGTGAAGGGGGGATTGGACAATTGAATCAGCTAGCCACCAATAGGTGATAGGTCATGTACATGAGGGGAAGGAAACTGGGAGTTGTACCGGCATAGGACGAACGACCTAGTAGTGGTGCCACCAACACAGCGGGCATTTGGGAAAGGGTACTGTAAGGATTGAAAAAAAATTGAGCACAGCGTATACACATGAACGAGCGAGTATGAGAACCTTGAATAAAGGCAAACGGGAGAGAGATGTTGAACGCTATCGATAGAGATCAGTATGGATCCGTAGAGATATCATCGTATCGGCCCTACCTTTGTACCAGA